AAGAACAGAAAAAGAGAGCAAAAGAATAAGACATTTAGCCAATGAAAGCTGTATGGGTTTAATTTATTTAACCTGAGATAGGTAGGACAGGGATATACAGCTTTCTCTAAGTACGTTTACAAAATATGTGAATATTTACTAATTTAGCAGAAAGAAGATTTAATGTAATCATTAAGGAATACTTTGCAGTGTGTCACTGGCCTGATGTTTGGTGATGTAATGGAACCTGAAGTTACCAGAAATTTTTGGGAACATTTTAGAAAAATGAAAAAAATGTGACCATGCTTTATCTAACTCACTGTACCTTGAAGCAAAAGGTAAATATATTGAAGTCTCTTCTTTTACTACCCTTTTCAAATCAGAGTGTAAGGAGAAAGGCAAGATACTGGATCTGAAGACAGCCAAGGCACAGAATATAGGAATATGTGATAGTCTTTTGCCAAGTGGAAAATAATTACGGAGCTTATAGTGTATTTACTATTGTTCTAGGAGAGTGAGTTGTTGAACTTTCCAGATTGGAGGGGATTGCATGAAGATTTTAACCTCCAGAATTAATTTGACAGTGAAATAGTAGATTAAAGTTATTGTTTGTAATTATAGGCTAATGCACATTCTTTTCCTCCTCTTCACTAGCCTGGGAGGCTTTTGAGGTTCCCCTCTCCTTTGCTGGCCCAGAGTGTGTCACTCAGGAGACCCTCTGTCATTCCCTGGTGTGCCAAGAGCACAGGTGCAAAAATGACTTCATATCCTTTTTCACACAGTAGACAGTGGGGTTGGAAGACCAATAATTATAGATTATCACCATGACCAAACTTTTGGGAGTCTAAAAATGGTGTATTTATGCTGCATAGTAAAAATGTCTAGAGTTGTGTTATTCCTAAGTAGAAAAAGAAGAAAAGAGAGAGAAACCTTGTTCTTCAGGGTATAGGTTGACCAACTGATAGGAAGAAGTGCACTTTTTGAGAATGACATTTGTCATTTACTTACTGCCCAGTGTTTTCCAATGTTGTCTGAAACAAAGATTAGCAAGAACTTCAACTGAAATATATTGCAGGGGGGCCAACTCTAAATCCCACTTTTCCATCTTCTAGAGTTCAAAAAGGACATTGCTTGGAGTCAAGCCTGATTGTGATTCTCCGGAGTTTTGAAATAGGACCTTACCACTTGGCAGTAAAGAATCAGATTATTTCATTATACTATGAAGCAAAATTGCATTTCAAAATGTCAGAAAAAAACATTAAATTAAATTGCTCCTTATAGTTAGTGATATGTTAAGCACCCAGTACAAGTTACTTTTAGAAGTATATTACTGGATGAGGTGGATCATCAATCTGATCTGGCAGGTTTCGTATTCCTGTCAAAAAACCTCTGACGTTTAAGAGGAATTATTTTTAATTATTGGAAGGATTTAAAAAAACGACATATGGAGGCTGAGATGAGGAATTTAGTTCTTGCCTTGATTTGAAAGCAGTCTGCTATCTTGCCGAATGAGCTTTTATCAGAGGAATGGCTAAATTAGGAAACAGGTCAAGAAGAAAGGGAAGAGAATGTAACATTCCTATTCCTAGGGCTGGTGGTTCATAGTGCACTGGGACTGAAAGGTCCCCAGTAGCACAGCTGCTGTGGCTCATTGATTAAAGTTAAAAGTGACTTGCATTAAACTGTTTTATTTTATCCCAATGCATAATTCTGCAAACAGTGGTAATATTTTTCAGTCCGATGTCTTCCCTGCTACTTTCTGTTTCTTAATGAAGGACAATTTTCAAATACTGTATGTTGTAAAGCAACCAAGTCATATAATATTAATGTAACTGATTAAGTCTTGGTACTTTATCATTTTTCCTGATTAAAATATATTGGAAAATTATTTCTCTCTATATTGGAAAATTATTATGTCCTGTACTAGGTATGTAGTAATATAATGCTGCCCAGAAGACAAAAAATGTGTGCCCGAGCTCCCTTTCTTTCACTCTTCTTTCTTGGATTAGTGTTAAATTCCCTCAGTTGTATTTAGTAATGCTTGGGATTCTTTTGTGCTTTGAGACTGAAAATTTATCATAACTGGTGCCTAATCTGTGGCTTTGATTTGTGTTCTTACTGTAATCACATTTTAAACATCCACTGACCCTTTTTGAAGGGTCCTTAGAAAGTTGTTTTTTCACTACAGATTTGGATTTTAAAGTTGAAAAGAACTGTTGAAAGCTGCTGAAATGGCACTCTAATTAGCTCATATTTTCCTGAGCCTTATCTGCCCCCAAAGAAGAGGATATGTCCCAGTTCAATCATGCAACTAGCTGAAAGCCTCAGACAGATCCCAGGCTGAGCCTTGAGCTTGCATTCTTCTATTGCTTGGGGATTGCCTTTGTGCTTTTTGTTTCTATTTTGGTTCAGGTAGAATTTGAAAGGAAAGTGTCCCTAGGAGAAATGATACGTGGATTGCCTAAACTGGGACAAGGCAGAGCAAGTCACTGGATCTGTGGATCTGCGCTGCCACTGGCAACTTGCTTATGCTCCGCTGCCTCAATTTCCACATCCTGCAAGTGGAGCTAACATCCTGCTTCACAAACATAAATGAAATCTCATGGCCTTTCTTCCTCAAGGCACTTCTAATTTTGTGGGTGAGGTGTCTATCTGTCTGAATGGTGACTATAAGTCCTTTGGTTAAGCCTTTTGGATGTTGAAGACATGAGCAATCTGTCTGGAGCAACAAAGTGCTCTGCTGCTCTGATGAGTGAGAGTGAACTCAGAAATACAATGTAGAGGAAAATCTTGATAGATTTATCACAATTATTAAAGAAACCTTGTATTAAAGACCTTTATGCAAAATACCTTCCTACTGTCATTTCTATTGTTAAAGACTATCTCCTCTCTACAGAAGAGATAGGTCTTAGTGCCTTCAGTAGAGAAACAGTCCAGAAAGCTGAATAGAGTCCCCCTTTTATTCTCTTATACATGGATTTTATTTATAGGTTGTAAAACTGCTGAAGACAAAAGTTCTGTAAAAAGCAGATCTCCATAATACCCCCTAAGTTGATGTATTTTAATTAGATGCTCGCTGGCTTAGAGTGCCTATGCAAGTTGCCCATTCTTGACTGATAAAGTGTAAAATGGATATCTGTCAGGCAAAGCAGCTGTCTCTTATGTTTCTAATAGCTTTTTCCCTGCAAGTGAGAGTGACCATTTATCTGCCAGTGTCTTGTCTTCATCTTTGCTGGTTTCTGGTGAAGCAGTTGACCAGAGTGTTGTCTTTGAAGTTTGAGAATGAGGAAATGTTTATGCTGTGTCACATATTTAATTAGTTAATTAATTAAATTCATTTATTTATTCATTTCCTGAATGATTCCCAGCCAGTCACTTGATCTCTTTACAAACTGCCCATTTATCTCTGAAAACAAGACTGAAGGCTCACTGCCTCAGTGGAATCTGTGTGGAAGCATCTGAGCTGCTCAGCCTTTCCAGCAGAGTGGACAAAAAGAAATCAGAGCTCTGGGTTCTTTCTCTGATGTGGTCTTACATTTCCTGGGCAAACCTGTCCAACACCCTTCATTTTGCTGTTGCAATTTTTTTTTTTTTTTAATCTTAAAAAATGGGTATTTTTTTTTTTCCTCTGGGCTCACAGAAGTGAACTTTCACCAAAACATGGTGGAACAGTATAGTGGGACAGGAATTGTATTTGCCTCTGCTTGTTTCTATGTTCTATAAACACAAAGAGCTGCATGGACTGAGGATGCTCTGAAATCTCAGATATTCCCTTCAGTAGCTGGAAGATTTTTGGAAGAAATATGCAGTGTTTTGTAGAGGGAAAGCTTTTCTACACAAACCTTAGTATGAAAATACGGTAGCAAATACTTCAGAGACATGTTTGGTTTTTTTTTTCATTTTCATTTGTAAATACAATTTTGAAAGCCTTTCAACCCTCAGTGTCATTTACTCAGAGCTTCCACTGACCTTTTAATGTGGTAGGAAGCTCCCCAGTCCTATGCCACAGGTAGGCTGTATCTCAAGCATGCTATAACTTCCATACTAGCTTTGTTTTATTCTCATCTCCTAAATTTGTGCAGTGCTAAATATCCTGCAATTAAAAGACTACTTAATAAAAGGATCTGATGACCAGGAGTCACATCTGCTGTAATAATTCGTTACAGGGTACTCTTCTATGATTAATTCTTTTCTAGATAAATGTACAGAAATTTGTAGTTTCTCACAAATTGTACTAGAGGACAGGCATTTGTGTTCCATAAAAAAACAATGATTCTGTGAAATTCACTCATACAGAGTACTGTGCTTGGCTGCCATAATCCATAATCTCCAAAATTGCCTGATCTTATAGGCACGGGCAAATCTAAAATATACATCAGTGGAAAATCAGTGGTTCTTGTTTTGTGAAGTTCCATGTTTTGTTTTACAATATCAGTCAGTCTTTGAGGACGTGTTCTGGAGAGAAAAAGCAAGCAGTATCATCAGCAACAGCATATTTGTGAGCGGTAAACTTTGAAGGAATAGGTTACTTTGCACTAATGTGATTTTCCCATAGAAGACAAGAACTCCTGTGCTAGTTCATTGACAACATTTGTTATCACCCTGCATTCTTTCTGGCTTAAAGTAGGACCTGCAAAAAGAAAAAGACAGCTGGTGCTCTGAATTGATGACTGATTAAGAATCAGTATTGCCAGTGGGTCTTCATTAAAAATATAAATCTTGGTCTTGGAGCAACTGGGTGTTTTGCAGTTGATCTGAGAAAAGCAAAGGCTTCACTAATTACCTTTTTTGGTAGAAATGCTTTTCAGCAGCTGCATGGAGTTTAATTATTTGAAACCATCAATGTGTAAGCTCATATAGAACATAAAGTGTGTGAACTCAGCCCTGTTCTCTGCTTCCTCTCAAGCATTACACAAACACTGTTTTTTCCGTTTGAGAATAAGCAGTATATTGGCATAATACCTTTCAGTTGTAAAATCTGCTTTTTGACATTGAATACTGTATTTTCCATGTTTCTTCAGGGCTTTCTGGAAAGATTATAAAAGCCATCCTCAAGGAAGGATTTGAGATCTCAGCTTTGCAGATGGTAGGTTTCCTTTTGTTTGTTTTTATGATAAACAGAAGTTGGAGTAGTGCTGTATGCATGTCATAGCGGTGCACAGGTGTCTTCCTGCAGTATAAAACTCTTATGCAGGCTGTAGCAGTGTTTTGGGATCAGCATTGTCCTGGTGATATTTGTATTTTAGTATCTGACTGATCAGATAATCTGTTTCTGTTTGCTTGGTGACCTTGAGCCAAGACACTTCACTTCCCTGTATCTGAGTTTCCCCATAGTTAGCAGGGGAGGTAATTATATCTGTCTCTTCCGGATCAATTTGAGATATCTTTACAAAATGTACTAGCTAAGATTAATTAAACTATTTTTAATATCCTTCCTTAATTTTTTTAAAAATATATATTTAGTATGAATTATGGGGAATGCTTTTAAAGGTACTTGAGGGATTTTGACACCCTGAATACCTCAGCAGTTAAAGGGATTTGGCACAGAGATTGTTCCCAAGAGTCCTGCCCTTCAGTTGTGGTGAAAGTCTCAAGATCTGACATTCTCCTATCACTCAAATCCCTATCACAAATGAAGAATAGTGCCTTTCTTAGTGGGATCACCCAACGCTACATTGTCTACTTGTATCTGATGTAGAAAAGGTACTGTGTGCTATGTTGCCTGTGCTATCAATAAGTTGCTGACATGCTTCGTATTACAGTAGTAAAGCCATTCCTTTTACCTAGTAAAAGTTAGAGGATTCTGAATGTTTGCTGGTTAAGAATGGCTGTCTATGTATTCCTGTTGTTTAATATAGACTGGCTAACATTTTGGTTTTTTAGTTTAACATGGAGCGTCCAAATGTGGAAGAATTTTATGAGATTTACAAAGGCGTTGTCCCTGAATACCTGGTAAGCCTAAGTTTAACAAGAATCTGTTTAAAAATAAAATATGCTCAAGTGAGGAAATTACCACATTTCTTATTGCTTGGGATTGTGATGTGGTTTCTTTTGTTGAACAGTTCTAGTCTGTTCTCAAATAAATTAATTCATTGTGAGAATTGTGTTATGTGTGTCATAATCTAACACAGCCTTTAATGGAAATTGTTCAGCCAAGGAATTTGTAAAATACAACAGAGTCATGTCCCCAGCTTCCCCCAGAAAAGTTATTTTATTGATGTTGAACTATGAGACTCTTCACACCTGCATCTTTATTTGATTGGATATTGTAAGAGTGGCTTGGACCAAAATACATATTTATAATTTTATTTACAATGAGGCTGCTGTGTTGGAGGCTATCCTAATGGCATCTTGAACTATTCTTTGGTCTATTTGTCATATATAAGTCATTTGACTTATATATAAGTCAATCTGACTTTCATAAATACTCAGAAAATTTAAGAAGTTTGAGATATGCTGTAATCCCAGTGGACATCTGAGACTCTCTACAATGTTATGATTTCTTGTACTGTCACGTAAAACTTCCTGACTGCAGATAGAACAATGGGAATACAAGAAGATGAGCTTGTAGTTCTGGATCACCTTCTCCCAGAGGATTTTGGTTCATTTTACTCATAGTAATTTTTACTTTACTGTGTAATTTACTCATAGTAATGAGTTTAGCTTCACTGCTATGCTATTATGTTGCGAATTATCCTTAATTTTTAAATGGTTACATTATTGTAAGTTTTCTACATATTTACTAATATTACTCTGAAAATGAAATTTTTATTATTTTTTCCTCCTTTATGATTGTTCAGTCTAACTTATTTCAACAGGGTTTGTAGATTTGTCTTTAAATGGGTTAGGAATGCTGTAAATTCACTCTCAGATTGGGGAATACTCATAAGGCATCCTCTGAACATCATTTTTGACAAGTACCAAAGGGAGATTGGACAGGCATACTTGTGAGTATGTGGCAGAATTTAAAAACTGAAGTATCTGACCAGTATTTCAGGGTCTGAGGAGTCCTGTAGTGCTGCAAAAGTCTCTGCTTTGAACAAAATGTGAAATTCTCTGCCATTTTCTGCAGCTCTTGGGCTGCACAATCTCTAATCCTCTAACAAGTTGTAAATTTTAGTTATATAATTTAATTGGAGAGTTACTCAGAGGGGAAGGTGACATTTAAACAAGGTAAGTCAATAAATAAAATGCATTGTAGGTGATGTCAAGAAAAGTGAGAATTTGGGGCTCCATCCTGCAGGTTATATGTGCTGGATTGACTCAGTTGAAAAGAAATCAAATTCATATTTTCATGCATTCAATATCTGAAAAGTAGGAAAACATAGAAAAGCTAATCATGATGGTAAAGGGTTTTGGAGAAGGCGCACATGGGAACAGCAATGGATATTGCAGTGCAGTCAAATAGGAAAGTGTGTTACAAAATAGGATATTGGAGAAAGAATATGACCACTTCTATATGTGATTCAGAACCATCTGTTTTGATCTAAATTTTATTTATCATTCCAAAATAACTCAGCAGAAAAGATACTAGCATCCAGAAATCATCTTAAAAAACTGTAGTTCCATTTCTTCTGGTTATTTCTTGTCAGTCAGATAAAGGTTTGACATTGTATTTAAAGTATTCTGGGAAAAGAGAAAGCTGTACAATTGCCCAGAATTTTAGCTTTGTTAGTATCTCCTATATGGGATTTTACATACTGTTGCTTAGTTTTTGTGCTGTTTTGCTTTTATTTCCTACTCTAGCCAGAATAGAAAATGGGGAAAAAGAAGTGAGATTATTTCAGCTCAGAATCCACTTTGTTAACCAAAAATCCTTGAGCTTGATCCACCTCCAGGAATGGTTCTGGCTGACCACAAACCATGCTATTTGATGAATAAACTATTTTCCAGAGAAAATTTGATGTAGCTGTAATAGGTGCCTCACCAGACAAATGTTGTCTGCTATTTAGACTCAGCTCTGGACTTGATGAGGCTGTGTAAGTAGATCAGACTTGTCTGACATAGAGCCACCTGCCTTTGTGCTGTACATGGTGGCATCTGGTCTTCAGGTCTCAGCTCTGTGCAGTAACAAAGGAGTCAGGAGTCACTTTGGTCATGTTGCTCACTGTTGCTGGTGGGATCTTTGTGCTGAGACAGAAACAATAAAAGTGGGAGGAAACTGTTTACTGTTTCTTAGCAGAATAAAATACGTGCCTCTTTGACCTGTTCTGAACAGAGGATCTGTTAGTGATAAAACAGTTTTTGGAATTAAAATATTTATTTATGTTGTAGAGCATGAAGCTAGTCTGCACTCCTTTCATGTCCTTAAGGAAGACTTCTACCTAAATTTCCTAGGATCTGGTTGATGATAGAGGCACTAGATAAAATTCAGAGAGGCACTAGATAAAATTCACACATTCTCAGTATGGAATCCATTATGAGGATAGTAGCTTTTGCAGCAGTGCTACTTTACTCGGAGTCATTGTGTATTTCTTTTCTGTCAGAATTCATAGAAGGAAGAGAAGGATTTAGTGGTAGTTTTCCTTCTGCTCTTTCATCTACTCTGTATGCTTTGCCATGGTTCATCTTTGATTTGCCTGTGGCTGGGCATGATTGCAGAACCTTGTTAGTCCTTACCTATCCTCTCTTACTTTCTGTGCATGTCTTGCCCTTTCGTCTTTCCTCGTTGGTTTTGATTCCTTTAATTGTCTTGATTTGTTTTAAACTTGTCTGTCCAGATTTCTAGACAACTATGCAATTATAAGGCCATGATTTAAAAAAGGAAGTCAGACTAGAACATCAAAATAGATTCTTTCTGCTTGTGAAACCCATACCTCTAATTAACAAACTCCAAATTGGCACTAATGCCCAGGGTTATTTTGAGCTTATGAAAACTAAGACCCATCTTCATCACCCACACAGAACTCACAATGTCTCTTTACTCTCCTGGAGACTCCAGGGAAACAGATGATTTCACCATTACTGAGATCCTAGTATTAGTACATCACAAGAATATTGCCAGACCCTTTCCCTAACAGGAAAGGGGAACAGGCACAGATACTGTTGGGTTGTGTGTTTCAGTTTCTGTAGTAACCTGTGAGGAAAAGACAGAGAGAACCAAAAGGCCAGGAGACATTTTAATGACTTAAAGGCATCAAATGAGTGTATATTTAAAAACATATAGGCTGTGTACTGTGCTTCTGGTAGGGAACACTGCACAGTACATTGCTGCCTGTGGAACTGGCTGAACATAGCGTGATTTTTCAGGTTTAAAACCCAGCAAAGTACATTCCAGTGATTTAGTCTAGTTTGACAAGTTAAGAGATACTACCTTGGAATCTAGGTCCAAATCAATTAAGGATGTACCTACAAAAGAATTTAAAGTATTGTGGATGCAGTTATATGCTATTCAGAATCCTGTTGAAGCTGAATATCCAATTTTTCTCAATTTCCACCTTCTAAACCAAGTAGCAAAATGGAAAACATTTCTTTTGTGGTGAGTACTAATGGTATCTGTTTAGTGTCCTCACTTTCCTAAATGCATGTTTCTTAATTGTTCGTGTCCTGTAAGTTTGGGCCTTGTTTTGGGGAGAAATGCAACCCTTGCTGAAACCCAAAGAGTTCAAGTTTTTTTCTGTCTTCTTTCTCTTCCAGGAGATGGTTTCAGAGTTGTGTTCAGGCCCTTGCATAGCAATGGAGATTAGACAGTTCGATCCTTCAAAAGTGTTCAGAGACTTCTGTGGTCCTTCTGACCCTGTAAGTACTTTCTTGAGTGATAAATAAAGCATAAAAAATTGATGTGCTAAGTGAATTAAAATGTCAAAGTGTGGTATAGCTGTCACATGCCTGCTGCATTCATTAGAAATATGTCAGTATTACCTTATTATAAGAGGTCAAAAACTGACCTTGGTGGACTAATTTGCAAATCCTTTAGTAACCCTTCTGATCTTACCTAAACCAGATTATAAAATACTGTGATGACATTTATGTGAAAGGAAAGCTATCTAGGCAAAAATCTCTGTTTAAGAATTCACAAATATAAGAATGCAAAGCTTCAGAGCCCTGGAATGAACAGTTATTTCTTGTGGATGCTAGTGTGATCACATGTTAATTCACTTCAGTCTGTGGCATTCTCCTAAGATGAAACTGAAAGGAGAATAGGTTCCTTTGATTTTTAGAAGGAAGCAAACAAAAAAATGTGTCAAAGTTCTCATACCTGTTTGCTTCTAGCTTTTGTTTTTCATTTATTGAGGTGTATAATTACATATGTGTAATACTGTGTGCAATTTGAAGACAGGTGTAAGTACTGTCTCAAAAAGTTTGCAGATTTCTGTTAAATAGTGAAGGCCGCTCTACACACAAGAAGGATGAGGTGAAAGGCACAATGGGGGCAGTGAAGTCAGGGCTTGTATGTTTTTCTTGTTACTATTTAATGTTTTAGTGGCAGACTTGAGGCAAGTCACTAATCTTCTTGGAAAATAATCACACAAATGAATGTTTAAAGGGGAGAACAAGTTATTCAGGATGTTTTTCTTCAGATACAGAGTTTTCATTATAGAAAGTACAGATTAAAGGCATTATCCAAAATTTTATTGCCTTTTCTGTTTGGTAGCATTCAAATATTTCCCTACTGGGTTAGCCTCTTGTAAACAGAGCATAAGCCATTTATCTGACTTAGTTTTAACTGTAGGATGGTATATCAGTAGTAATGTACACAATATAGTGGTTTCAGTTTCGTTTCAAATTCCATGTTTAAGGATACTGATCTTTAAAACATTCAAAGATACAGTCATTTTATATGGGCCTATTACATCCTTTTTATGTGTCTGCTTGTTTAATACCTGATAAATTAAAATCAACGTATGCTTGCAAACATCACAGTGACTTTTATTTATGAAAGACAATTGTTTCTATATAAGGGGAATTTCATTGGTTTTCCTTACTCACATGAAAAGCTGTAATAAATATGCAATGTGTGTAAGCAGCTATTGATGAGCTGAGGAACTGAGGGATGTATAAACTGATGGGTTTTCTGGGTAGCAGAAGAAAACCACAGAGGAGGGAACTAATTTCCTGTCTCCCAGATCTCTTGCTCCTCAGTGACCTAGTGATGCTGTTTGTGTTTCCCTGGTAATGGTTTCATGTCTGACTTGTGAAGTGAAAATGAGTACCTGCCTGCTTCTAGTGGAAGCACAGGCTGTAAGTTTTGGACGCTGACTTCAGAGCAGTTCCGCTAATGGTATGTTTGGAAGACAGGCAACTGTGTTATATTTCTCTGCACTGTTTTCTGTATAAATTGCAAATTAATTGATTCACCAAGCACATAAAGCCTATGTACAGTAACTGCAGAAGCTCTCAAGACTAATCATTGCCTGAAGTTATCTATCTCTTCAGACGGTGTTTGTAGCTTGTCCCCGAGGACAAAGGGGCTAAGCTATCTTGACTTTGTCATTCCCAACTAGAATTGCCAGAGAAGCTTGCACCTGCGCTTTGTGGTTACAATATTTGTCTAAAATAGGAGCAGCAGAAACCATAACAGCAGTTTCATTACCGAAAGAGGTTATATGCAGACCATGAAGATAATTTGGACTTGATTGATATTCTAGTGGTTAAGGAACATCTAAGTGTCATGCAAATAGTGCATTATCATTGAGAGATCTGGATCTCTTTATAGCTTGTCTTTTTACATATGCTAGATTCTGATGTGTGTGCATGGACTCATTTGGGTCACTTTTGCTCCTGTTAAAGAGTACCTTATCTGCCACTGAAATCACTGTCATTGCTTTCAAGGCAAAGTGCTATTTGAAGTGAGTGAAGGTGTTGGAATTTGACTTATATAATGAATCTTTGCCAATCACCTGTTCTGTTAATTATATCTTAAATACATAACAAATGTAATAATTACTTTGTGGCACATCAGATATCTAAACTGGGTGTGAATGTTAACAGCCCTTTCAGTCTGTTCTTGGTTTTACAGGATGTTTAGGGCTCAAGAAAGAATTAGAATTCTTCTATTTTGAGGATTAGACTTTATTAAGATAACAATTTATAACAAGTATATAAATGCTATTCACTGGAACTCTGGGCTATTTTCTATAAGTGGGTAATAGTTTGCTAGCACTGCAGGTCAGTAAAGCTTTCTGCCAAAAATACCCTTCATTATAAACCACCTTATAAATAATTTATTAAAACCTCCTCTGTGGTAGTAGGGAAGACAACTAAACAAAAAAACTTGTTTGAGCCTCTTGGTAGTCATGTGTGAAGACCCTATTTGACCTGGAAAGCAGGTGATGGAATCAAGATACTTCTCTGGAAAGAACTGTGCTGAACATGCTCATTCCCAAAATTACTGTGGTCTGATTGAAGGGTTCAGTGTGGCAGATTTCTGGCTTGTGGAACACTTGTCCCCAGTAGATAGTACATGCAGTAGAATATATATGCCTTTCTGCAGATCCTGCTGCTCCTTGCATCCTTCTTGTATGCTGGCACTTTTCTACTGAGTGTCTGCCTGGCTCACTGTACTCTTGGTGTGCTGCCAGCCTCTTTAATCACAGCTCATTCTTTTGTGTCATTGGTGGTCACACCTCAGGCCTTTCTGTAGTCCAGTTGTGATGCTTATTTTTGTCTTCCAGTTGCATTCTCTAGTCAGGTCTCAGGCTCCTTCTATGCCTTGCTCTTGGTGTCCCTCTGTGCCTCTTCCTCTCTGTCCTGGTTTGCCTCTGTGCCTAATATGTGGGCCTTGGAAGTGGAAGGTTCTCTCCACATCTGCTGTAATAAACAGCTGTTTACTCTCTACTTATTTTTGCAGTACCCCTGTAAAAGGCCAGCAGTCATACTGATGCCCATCTTGAAAATGTTTATTTGCAATGTTAATAAGAGCTGTTTAAAAAGGTGTCTGAATGTCACAAAAGACTGCAGCTTTTCAGGGAGGGGAGGCATCCTCAGACTGCTATGCACACAAAACTATAAGTTTTGAAATGCTGACATCCAGATATTTAAATTACAAATAAGAATGGGGTTTATGAAATGACTTCAGGTCCCACTGATTTTCATGGTATGTCTGGATCATTTAAGCCCTTTTTTAAAATACACTATCAAATCTTGCTACACAGGTTCTTAAATTACACATTTTTTTGCTGGATGTTATTTCACTGTGTTTCTATTGGTGGAGTTGAAAAGAAAGGAAAAAAATTGAAAGGAAAAAAATTTTAAATTTCACCTATGACAAAGAGGTAGCTGTTCTAGAAAGCTAGGAAGAGGATTTAAAAAGTTAATTACATCTGATTCTTACAGAACACGTGTCTTTTCAACTTTCAGTACACACTATTACTTGGAGGTAAAAGTTACTAACTGGACCAAAGTCTGACAGAAATGAAGTTGTGTTTCTCCTTCATTGTAAAGAAATGAAAATGCTTGGAGGGGTAGGGGTAAATGCAGCACAGTGTGCCTTATGAAAAAAGCTGTTTTAAGGTCAGTAAGGAAGAAAAAGAAAGCAACCTATTCTGCATTGATTTGGCTTGCTTTAACATGGATCGGGTTGTAAAATCTGTAATGGAAAACCTTGGAACAAGGGGAAGGTGGCCAGGGAATCCTGTCACCACTTGAGTTTGCTGGCATTGATATTACATTTCACTAATGTTTGTATATTTTGGGCCTCTGGAGGCTTTTTGTTATTACTTAGATCTGAAGCTACAGCTTTAGTTTTCACATCTTTGCGCAGCTTCTATATTGAAATAACTGCTTGGTACCATTTTGTCATGGAGTTGTCAGGATGATTACTTAGTATTCATAAAATGCTTGAAAAATGCTGTAGAAATTAAGGTGGGGGTTTTTTGTTTTGGTTTATTTTAAACTTTGTTCATATGCAAATTAAAAAGTTGGTTATAATACATTATTTCAAGAGTATACATCAGCTACATGTTCCTGGCTGACTGCATAAATTTTAGTATTCCTAAGAGCTTTTACTTGGAATTGGCAGTACACTAAACGTGACTCAAGTCCCTTCTGTTGTGAGATATTATTAAAGTGATGGGGTGTGCTGCAATATTTCTGCATCCTGTGGACTGAAAGGGGATTTTCATACACTTGCTTTAAATCCTAACCTGCATTCTTTTTACACTGGGGATTTGCACCTCTAAGTGTAACTGTGTATCAAGTCATTTGTACTTTTGCATGAAAGAGCTGAAAGGGAGATTAGATGGTTTAAAACAAAGCAGTGAACTGGAAGAGCTGGAGTCTGCTTTGCTCCATTCCTGACCTCACTGTGTGACCTTGGACAAAAAGTTCAATGTCTTTCTGCCTCAGTTAATCACATCAGTTAAACAGGGATAGCTATGAGCCAAAGAGCTCTGTTGCTGTAAGATTTTTGTTTTTATAGACCTCCTGTGAATCTCTAGCAGTGAAAAACAGGTATATGTGAAGCCTAAAATGTTCATGTTCATTCCTAGAGCTACATTATCAGCACAACATTTTCATAGTGCATCATATAAAGAATAGTTCAGTGGAAGATGTAAAGGAATATAAAGGCTATTTTTGAGCTTCCAAGTACTTGTTTTCTGTTAATACCTCTATAGCTATTTCAATGTGGATTCTCCCTATAGCCTAGTGAGCCCTGATGAGAGTGTTGACAATGAAGTACATAATGTCTTTCGAGAGAAATAAGATTGTTTTAATCTAACTCTTTATTGAAGAAGATTTTAATATAATTGATTATCTGCTCAGATAGTCTGAGTCATGTAATAAAAATAAAAACTTTC